AATTATCCAAGCACGGGCAAAGTTGCAGGTTCCAAATATGCAAAAAGCACAGAGAGTAGGCGAAAAATGAAATGCATCCCTGGCGTATTACACAAAGCGCACCGTATGTCACGACTACTTCTTGGCTCAACACCGGAAAATGGGCGCTGCGCTTGGGAGGTTCGCTGTCAGAACTGGCTTAGCCGCCTAAAATTGTTTTTCTTGGTAACAACATATTCCCTTCGTAGCCATGGGTGCGTAATTAAGAGCCATTCAATTGACTCGGTTATTGAAGGCAGCTAAACTGAAGCTGAAATAAGAGCGAAGAAGTGGTGGGGATATAATTTGTTTGTCGAAAGCCCTATCGAGGTGTGAGGCACCACTCCGGCTAAGCGGGGATTTTGATGGGGAGCAATTGTAAGTCAGAAGGGAAGAGGGCTTTTGCATGACCCTAGCCTACGGGTTCTTAGATCGCATTAGCATGACAGGAGTTGCGGGATCAGCCTGAATGGGGTTCCGGGCAGGGTACATCATTGTTTGGGGTCCGTTTGCTTCCCCCCCCCTTTTGTAGGGGTTGCCACGACCCCACCCCTCCAGCTATCTGGCCCTTCATCGAATCGAGGCGCGTCGACGCGGGAGGGGGGGGGGATGTAGACGTAAAACAGGAAATGCCGATACATCAATCATTACTTCCACCACTCCTAGAAAGGCCAGAAAGCAATGCGCCCCCCTCTCAACAATGAGCAAGTACGACCTCGCCCCCCTTTTACAACCCGTGAAGCGAGAAAAATCAAATATGCGAGAAAAATCAAATATCAAAACAAATTTTCCTCAGCCCGAATACGACCCCTCTCCTGGAGCTAAATACGACCCCCCCTGTTGGAGATTCCCCAACAACGATGCGCCCTGGTTCCGGGCGCTAACGTGGTAGCAGTGGGACCACTCAGCCACGCCTCTGCGTCGCTTTCCACGACCAAAGCTTCGTTTGAGATCAGGTTACAAGATGAACCAGCCGTGCTCTGTGGTAGTTTTTCAAATCCACACCACATCCTGTTGAGATAGCTCGCAGGTAAGACTGGTCTTCACTTACCCTGATCCTTGGTTTGGGAAGGGAAATCGGGGCGCTGCCGATTGCCCTCCTCCCCGTCCGCTGCTCAGGAGACGGTCAGGACGATCGTAAACTGACGCGCCATCACGAGCGGCCACAGGCGCGGAGTAATCCCGAAACAAGCTTGCATTAGCCTCTCAATAGTAGCATAACTTCTGCGACATCGTAGACATTCATGGCTATTTTTGATTATACGTTTTGTGTCATTGCCACCTATGTCCCGAAAGGATGTCACAAGGGGCCACAACGTCGCAAGCGACGCCCATGCGCGGTGACTTACGACTGTGTTGTCACATACCGCCCCTCTCCCCCCACCTTTGCCGTTCCGCCTCTCCCGACTGCATTAGTGCCAAATTGTCAGTTACTGAATTGATTCCTCTGCGAACAAGGGACATAGTTCGAATGTCCGTGGTTGGAAAGAGTCACGCTGCAGCGCAATTCTCACAGAAATGAAACCTCAAGCCGTCAGGAAACCCGCTGCAAAGAAGCGAAGAACCGCGAGATTGGAAGATATCAAGCTCTTTGAGAGATATCAAGCTCTTCTACAATGGAAGAAACAGCGAACATAATGGTGTCACAGGTGTGGCAGAATCCCTCGAAGGGTGCGCTCCTCTGTGACTGGGATTAGTGATCGGATCGTGGGACTGAGAAAAAACACTAAGGAGGGAGTACTGTACCGCAATCCGGTGCTCCGAGCTGGAAAAGAATGGGTTTCACCTGACTCTGGAAGAGACATAAGATCGATACCAGAGGGTAACTATCTCACTATAGCGGTAACCTGTGGGCATGTGGGTAATGACAGAAGGGGTTTAAAAAGGGTGCACGGAGGCCGTGGGATAGGCGCAAGGAGCGTTGGGGAGAACGGATCCTCGACCTAGCCACCCCACGACTCGGTAGTTTATAGCACCCTCTTCGCAAAAAGAAAGACACAGGAGATAACCCACAGCGGTGGAGTGAGACAAAAGAAATCGATATGCACTGATGAGACCGTTAAGGATATCAAGGTAGTGCCTGGGGACTGGGCCCTGAGCACAATCCTCTCCTGGCGGACATTAGGAACCTAGACAAACGTAGAAGAGGTCACCATACGGTGTGCAAAGAAAGTCCTGGGAGAGACGCTAGGTGGGACCAGAGGCAGGGTCCGAGAAAATTCTAGGGGATTGTTAAGCAGAAGAAGGGAACATGCAAATGTTTGCAAAAGACAGCAATGAATATCTCGCTCCCTGCAAGAGCAGCAAGCGACTCGCTAAGTCAGATTTCTGTCATTGCCAAGGCCAAGAATACGGAAATGGACGCCCTGTACGAGAAGCTGGAGGGCCGAGAAGGGGACAAGTTCGTCTTCCGCCTGGCTAAAGCTCGGCATCGCGCTGCTCAGGACATCAGGCTTGTAAAGAAGTCAGGAAGAGGGGAAGAATACTTCGAGGGACTTCTGAACGAAGAATTCCCCCGCAAGGATAGCCCACAGATAGAGGCGACGGCAGGCCCCATCACTCCCTGGACAAGGATGAAGTCCGCCGTGAGCTAGGGAGAATGAAAGTTGGGAAAGCAGTGGGTCCAGACGGGGTACCGATAGAGGCATGGAAGGCCCTTGGAGAGCATGGGGTGAGTTGGCTCACACAAGCAAGGTAACGCCTGAGGGAGGACGCCGTATACGTGGGGGAGCAGCACAATCGTATCTTCGAACAGAAAGGGGACGCGACGGAGTGCTCCAACTACCGCGGCATCAAGTTGACTCCCCATACCATGAAGCTACGAGCGCCTGGTCAACACAAGGCTAAGGGAACTTGTCCTATCTCGCAGGAACAGTTCGGCTTCATGCCCGAAAGGTCCACCACTGATGCCATCTTCATCGCCAGACAGCTGATGGAGAAGTACCGAGAGAAGCGGCGACCCTGCTACCTAGCCTTCCTGGACCTTGAGAAGGCATTCGACCGCCTGCCTGCCTGTACTCTGGAGAGCGCTTAGAGAACGTAACGTCCAGAGCACCTGGTCTCCATAGTGAAGGACATGTACGGTGGGGCTAAAACAGCCCGTTCTTCTTCCTCCTAACTCTAGATGTCATGGCAAAAGAACTCATGGAGGGACCACTGAAACCATCCTCTACGCTGACGACATTGCCCCCACACACACGACAGCAAGGAAGAACTTCAGGCGCAAGGTGCAGCGGTGGTGAGATGTGCTCGCTGAGAATGGACTCCGGTTGAACGTGAAGAAGACCAAGTTCCTGAGCTCTGAAGAGTGCGCCGAACCCATCGTAGACCGCCGCGGTGAATGCATTGGAAAGGGTCCCGCACCTGGGGAGCGATCCAGCAGCTGACGATAGCGTGAACCAGTTGGTCCTGTGCGTTTGGGCGAAGAAAGTGGCATGGTTTTGCAGGTGCAGACACATTTACCTCATACATGGCAAGAGCTGGGACCGATGAGGACTGAAGTTGAGAGTACAGTTTGTCTTCAATTACATTCATTTACGTGCACTCACAGGGCATAACAAAACGTTCTTATTAACCATCACTGAATTCGCACGAAAATCAAAAGGTAGGTGCAGTTTGTCTTCTAGCCTTGACAAAATTGAAATACTTTATTAAACCAACGTTTCGGCGTCTTCGCCTTCGTCAGAGCCTGAAATGGACAAAAAACATGAGACCTGCCCGCTCAAACGCCTCAACAACCCTCAAGACAATTTCACTAAACTAGTAAAACGACCCAACGGTATCGATCGATAGTGTTGTGGCTCACCTTGATCTAGACGCCGCAGTGCGGGCTCGACCACCCTGAGGTTGACTTGAATGCGGATTAATCATTACCAGTTACACCCTCCGACCTCACGGTAGATCAAAACTTACAGAGGTCGAGGAAAGGCGCGAGTTCGCGGGTTACAGCCACACACTCCTCCTTTCTATTCATTTTAGGGTCCTTGGCAGTGATCCAAAATGCCTCCAATGTCTTACGCGCCGTGATCTCGGGCTCCTGCGCTAAGATGACCACCGACACGTCAAATGACGTGCCTCCATGGTGCTCAACTCGATGATCTTAACCCACACACGAGGGGGGCGCCCTGTTTCACCTATGCGACAAACAACACAGTTGTGTTGTTTGTCCCTTCGGCAGACAGGGCGACTGCATGAAGTCGGCAGTCTATCTACTCGATACACTGCCAGAATTGTGGCAGTGAGTACATAGGTGAAACAGGGCGCCCCCTTCGTGTGCGGGTTAAGGAACATCTGGAGGGGCTCAGTAGATCTAGGGTCCAGACTCCACTCGGAGCTCATCGAGTTGAACACCATGGAGGCACGTCATTTGACGTGTCGGTGGTCATCTTAGCGCAGGAGCCCGAGATCACGGCGCGTAAGACATTGGAGGCATTTTGGATCACTGCCAAGGACCCTAAAATGAATAGAAAGGAGGAGTGTGTGGCTGTAACCCGCGAACTCGCGCCTTTCCTCGACCTCTGTAAGTTTTGATACCGTGAGGTCGGAGGGTGTAACTGGTAATGATTAATCCGCATTCAAGTCAACCTCAGGGTGGTCGAGCCCGCACTGCGGCGTCTAGATCAAGGTGAGCCACAACACTATCGATCGATACCGTTGGGTCGTTTTACTAGTTTAGTGAAATTGTCTTGAAATTGTTGAGGCGTTTGAGCGGGCAGGTCTCATATGTTTTTTGTCCATTTCAGGCTCTGACGAAGGCGAAGACGCCGAAACGTTGGCCTAATAAAGTATTTCAATCTTGTCGAGGCTCGAAGACAAACTACATCGAATATCATCATGCCAAGATTGCAAGAAAGTCGAACATGGATTTTCTCAGGATCTACAAACGAGAAATTCGCCAATGTTTTCATCTTTTCATTGGAGGCTCCCAATATGAGAACGTCTAGTACAACTCTCAATATCAAGCTGAACAAATGTAGATGAGATTATGTTGTATTAGGAGCACATCTATTACGAGATTGTCGTGCTACGGAGAAAGTTTTGACTTTGATCTCCGTCGATGTTCCTGGTCCATGGCGTTTTTTGTGTTTTAAATATCCAAAAATACTCCATAGTGTTAGTGATCCAATAGCGACCGAATACCAACGTAACATGGTCATCGTTACCTGGAATTTCGCCATTATGTCTGAGTCCTTAGTCTTATTCAAAGAAGATTATAGCTCCATGGTTAGAGGACAGTGTGCCGTAATTGTACTAGGCGTTAAATGAAATGGAGTTTCACTGCAGATGAACAATGCGCCCTACACACGCAAGAGCTTGCTAAAGGCAATTGTATCAGAGAACCGGGTTAAACCGTCCTCCACACTGCCTAAAGCAGTGCACTTTTAACACTGTCCATTTTGGTTCGCGCCTTATATAGATACTGTACACCAAAGGTCGCCTTGAACTTAGATTTTTGAAGGCTTCAATCTTTAAAACCTTTTTCACAACAGAAATAAGGAACTTTATTTTATCTCATTTTTGGTAAACTCGGAATTAAGAAAGTCGACTCACTAATCCATAAGTAACAGTGAAAAGGATGACCGTTCTCTCATTTCCATGAGTTATCCATCGAATAAAAAAATGTAGAGGAGCATCGAGCACCACAGAAAGCACCAGTGCGCCATGGATTACTGCCTAAAACTCCGTAACTCATGAATAAATGAGCCATATTAGTTAATCGACAGTTTGTAATTCAATGTTTCGTCAGCAGGCTTGGTTACGTAAGCGGTAGAGCTAGTGGAGTGCGAACGTCAATATGAATCTCGAGAGCACCGTCCGCGATAATTTGAGGCTATCCCGTTGTGTTCTCTAGGCTGCCGCTTTCTGCTCCCTTTCCTGCGCTTTTCGGGGCATCGTTGACTTTCGCGTACTACAGTTGATCTTGTCCATCTTATGCTCGTTCGGAAATCACGATTAACTGCGGAAAGTAAAGCCCTATTGAGAGCAAATTCTCACATTCCCTTCTTCACAAGTAGGTCAGCTAGTACCCTGACCGTCTGCCTTTGAACTACACCACTTACCATTTGCAGTCGCGGAACGTGCCTTTGAGGTGCAAGGCTTGGAATGGCAAACCAAAAGTTGGAGGCATCTTTATCAGTGCTCACTTTCTTCTCACAAATGCTTGGATTCCTCATGCAACTGAACATGTTTTATGAACTTAAGAACTGTTTTGACCGAATTGCTGTAAGGTGTTTCTGGGCCAGTTCCTTCATGAGACATATCCAATGGTAAACCGTGAAAAAAGTCTTATTGGAGTTTTTGTATAAAACTTCAATTACCTCAACAAAGATACTTGTGGAGAATCTGGCTTGCATTTGTTTCACTTTCGTCGTGTGGCCACTATTACTGCGGAAATATCTGTTTATGAGAATGTAACACACGATAGAAATAATTAAGGCAGCCGGTACAAGAATCGCTTGCATCACTGCTCCCACTAGTTCGATCCGTAAATGCAAACAGATTAAATTACTCAGAAGCGTAAAATGTATGAAGACTGTGTTCGCTGTTTCAGTCCATGCTGTGCGAGGATATCTATTAGTCGAGGTGATACGGAGTCAGTGATGATACTGAAGATTACGCCCTGATCACTCAAACGCCTAACTCCTATTTGGGAGTAAACTTCATTCTGCCTTAAAGACAACATACATTTTCTCAGTCTAACAGTAGAAGGTGTAGGTTAATTGGGAGTGGAGACAGCCACTGTTCGGTTCACACTAAACAGAAGTAAATTGAAAGATCCACTTACTGGTAGTGAAATAACAAAGCCATAAGCTATGGTATAAGTGAGTACTAATGGCATTGAAGCAAAGTAGAACTTTTTGAGCCAACGATTCCTGAAAATAGGGAGGTCTTGACTCTGTTACCAGGAATCCGTTCATTTTTTCGGAGTCTTCCGAAATAGAAGCACTGTGGTTTGGTTTCAAGAGTGGTAGTAATCTGGCTCCAGGTGCGAGTTAGCAGACAACCATCGGGTTGGAATGACCTCATGCTACTCATTTACGATGTATTTCAGTGTTCCATGACAGGGAGACAGTGGAGCCTCTTCGTAATTTTTTTTTCCGAGGAGTCCAGTTCTAAATTACACAGCAAGATTTGCTTGCGAAGTGGTGAAGTTGAACTGCTAAATCACGACCGCGTCGCACATACATTCGGTGCTGTCCCAATCCGACCGCTGGCAGGGGACGTGGGTTTGAGCCACGGCGCTAGCAGCCAGTGTTTGCTTAGAAGGTGCCGCCCTCTATGCTGCAGAACACTAGACGTTCTTCTTCGCGATTGTGATTTCACGAGATTTCGTTGCGAGTTTAGGGTGGATTGACACCGTCTCAGCTAATCGCTTCTCAGGAAGTGAAGCGATTGCTTAAGCTGGCAGGGATGCAGGTTCAAGCCCCTGAACCTCACTCTTGAAGGGAGCCACCATTTTTACGATACCACCCTCTAACCAGCCGGGCATTGAAATTACCTTAGAAACATCAACACACGATGAATGTTGAAGATCATAATGAGAAACTGCTCAAGAGCATACAGTGCAGCAATGGAGAAAAAGACTATCTTTTTGGTGACGAGGCCGAATGGTAGGAAAGGAAAAGATATAAGGCGCACACCAGACAAGGTATACCTCTGAAATGAAAAGAAAGAGTAATGAAACCAACACTGTTCATTTTGATAGGAACAGACCTCATTACCAATCAGTTGCGCCAGATTGAGTAGAACTCCAACCGCTGACTGAATAGCGATCAAGCTCATATATTGGCTAAGAGATGTATAGCATTTAGTCACACTGTATAAAATATATGAATGTATCGCTATCCCACAAATTGAGGACGTGATGGTATTTGACACTTGAACCCACTCGACGATAGCTTCTTTCTGTGGTGTAGCTATCGTTTCCATTCTGAAACAATTATCATTTGAGCCTTCATGTCACGCTTCACATCCACAAGATGGGCAGGAGTGGTTGCGCGCCTCTTTCAAGTGTAGTCGTGGTTGCATTTCTGCTATGTGTT